CAGAGAGTATATATCCAGTTGGTGATAAAGCATATTGGGATATTCCTACCCATATAGCTTCTACGGTTTGTCGTCCTCCATCTACTCGTTATCCTAGTGGAAGGGGAAAAAAAAAAGAGGATTCCAAGGTCGTTGGAGCGTGGAAAATATCCGTCAACATCCAAATCAACATCTTAAAAATGTAGCAGATGTGGGCAGAAAGGTGACAACAAGAGTTGTTGTGTAGTGCCAATTTGATAATATGAGTCTTTATATGCCTTTATAAAATAGATTTATGAATCATTTTACTTAAAATCTAGTATCCATGATTTTATAATGGTTTATAAGTTTATAAACCATTATAAATTGTTCAAATCCGACATCCTTGTTTTTTAGTTTATGATTCATTAGGATTCAACTTAATTGCATATTGTATATGTTCTCAAATGATTGATATCTTTAACTTAACAGTATGATTAAAAACTAAATATGTTGCCATATCAAAGTACTAGTGTTAAAACCACAAGATATTTTATAAGGGGTTATAAGTTTATAAACTCTTATAAATTGTTCAAATTTGACATTTTCTAAATCCTAAATCATTGTTTAATAGTTCAATATCTTTTTTATGAGTCTTTATATGCCTTTATAAAAAACATTTATGATTCATTTTCACTTAAAATCTTGTATCCCTGATTTTATAATGGTTTATAAGTTTATAAATCATTATAAATTGTTCAAATCCGACATCATTGTTTTTTAGTTTATGATTCATTAGGATTCAACTTAATTACATATTGTATATGTTCTCAAATGATTGATATCTTAGCTTAACAGTATGAATAAAAACTAAATATGTTGCGATATCAAAGTACTAGTGTTAAAACCAAAGGATATTTCCTTACCATAATGGATTAACGTACAAAACATAAGATATTTCCTTATCCGATTCAACAACAACAACTGATAACACTAAATAAGTTCATTGATATTAGTTAAAAGCACTAAAAACAAGCTACAACAAACTACAAGTTATATTTCAAAATCATCCATACCCACCTCCTCATAAATTTCTGCACCCATCTTCAGTCGCAGTACTGGTATAGTCTCATCACTGAAGCCATCAACTTTCTTCCCTTCAGCTAGGCATTTAATGTATTTCAGAGTGTACACACCGCAATTTTCTGGGTTCTCATTCTTGGGAATCCTCTTATGCCTCAAGTAAGTGAACTGCTTAGTACTCAATATAGGATCTATCATTTTTTAAGCAATGCCGGCACCATTTTCTTAATGGCCTGCACTCCTCGCGCATCTCCGCTTCCGTCAAAATAGTTGGAATGCTATCATACACATTTATTACCTTTTTATGTAAATCAATATGTAGAGCAATCCAGTGATTGCCGTTTACGTGGTGGCAGAGGAAGAGAGAGTCAACATCTACAAGCCACTTTGTACCAGTGATAAAATGTGCAGGATATTCTCCATTAAAGACCTTAATATAAGTTTCTGGCCACTCAAATGTCTTCTGATCATACTTCTTGTAGTCTTTGACCCATTTTTTCACAAACCAACGGTCCAAAAATGCAATTCGAGAAGAAAAGTATGTTGATTGCGATTGCATTGAGCGTCTGTGAAACATAAGCCTTACTGACGCCATGTGCTGTGACATAAAAATATAATAATCAGAATCGAATTAAATACTTAGCTAAACAAAATCACAAGCAAAAACTTATTGTGTCAAGCAGCCAGCCGTAACCATCTCTTGGCCAAGATTCTCTCGGTATCATCAGCTTCAAATAAAATTCTGCGTTCCTCCCTTCATAACTGTACTTATCTTCGTTGCTGCGATGAAAAACAAAGGATGAGACTGTAAAATTAACAAAATAGGTTTCTAGAGAGAAAACTTACAAATTAGACTTAACGAAGTCCAAAACTTTATGTATTTTCTCTTGATCAATCTTTGATAGTGGTTCTTTGGAGACATATTCACCAGTTATGATCTTCTTCACTGTCTCCTCCAAACTTAAAGCAAGTTCTTCCAAAGAATGTCTATTCTTTTGTTTCTTTGATCTGGAAGTGCTAGCATCATCTCTCTTCATAAGAATAACAATTTAAGAAAATAAGAAATGATATCTGAATGTAAAAAGAACATATTAATAAACCATTATAAACAGAGTTGTCTACCTTTTTTCCTCGTCCTCCTCTTGTCTCTATACATTGGCCGGGCTCTTTAGTTGCATCTTCATTCTTCATGGATGTTTTTCACTTTTCCTCTTTACCTAATATTTCAAGGTAAAAAAAAATCTTAGAAGGAAAATGAATCATAAATCTGTTTTATAAAGGCATATAAAGACTCATAAAAAAGCTATTGAACTATTAAAAATGATTTAGGATTTAGAAAATGTCGAATTTTAACAATTTATAAGAGTTTATAAACTTATAACCCCTTATAAAATAAGGGATAAAAGATTTTAAAAGAAAATAAATCATAAATTTGTATTATAAAGGCATGTAAACACTCATAAACAAAATTATTTATACAGTAGTACTACTCTTATTATCTAATAAGCAATGATTTAAGATTTCGAATTTGTATTGAACAATTTATAAGAGTTTATAAACTTATAAACCCTTATAAAGTCATGGATAAAAAAAATTAAATAAAAATAAATCATAAATCTGTGTATTATAAAGGCATGTAAAGACTCATAACACAAGTATTTATACTACTCTTATTATCAAACTGGCACTACACAACTACTCTTGTTGTCACCTTTCTGCCCACATCTGCTACATTTGTAAGATGATTTGGATGTTGACGGATATTTTCCATGCTCCAACGAACTTGGAATCCTCTTTTTTTTCCTCCTGCCACTAGGATAGCGAGTAGATGGAGGACGACAAACCGTAGAAGCTATATGGGAAGGAATATCCCAATATGCTTTATCACCAACTAGATATATACTCTCTAAATATGCTAGTGTAAACCTAATAATAAAATTAAAAGAATAAATAAAAGTGTTATAAAACCTTATAATTTCGATAAGTTTTATAAACAGTGAATGAGAAAAACAAACCTTTCATTTGAGAAAAACTCATCGACATAATCGTTTTCATGCTTATTTCCAGATTTTGCAGCAGTAATAGCATGAGCACAAGGAAACTTCTCAACATCAAACTCAACGCATGAACAATTTGTTTGAAAATTCACCACTTGATCTCTTGCCTCTCCCTTAATTTCAAATTCTGAATCATTGATTTTGAAGACTTCGAGCCAGCGAGACTTTTTATCATATGACTTTATCTTTTTCCCCACTTTAAAAGTGACAGGGTGGATATGACGAATTCCTTGCTCACGCCGTTCAGTGAACCACCTAGTCATACTTTCCCTAATAGAGTCAAAAAGACATACTATCAGATACTCACGATTAACTTTCAGCAAGACATTAATGGATTCAGCCAAGTTTGATGTCATGATGTTGTAGCGATTACCAGAAGACAATGCTCGTGACCACTTCTTGAAGTCTTCTTTACGAAGATAGTCTGCTACTTCAGGGTCTGCCTGCTGAATCTCATTAAAATAATAATAAAAATCCTCCTTGATGTATGCATAAGCAGCCTGAACAATCAATGGGGTGAGGGTTGAACTCTAGAACTTGTCAAAGACATTTTTTTTGCAAAATGGAAGATGCAAATTCCGTGATGAGGAAGGGGATAGTGTTGTGAAAGAACACTTTCAATAGATTGAGCACGATCAGAGACAAAAACCAAGTCCTCTTCATCAGGAATGATGGTATTCAAACACATCATAAACCAACTCCATGAGGCTTCATTCTCAGAATCAACTATAACAAAAGCTATAGGATATAAGTGGAAATTACCATCTTGTGTTGTGGCAGCAAGTAGAGTCCCTTTATACTTTGATTTCAGATGGGCACCATCAATAGAAATCACCTTCCTCATCAACTTAAACCCTCTGATAGATGGACCAAACGACAAAAATGCATATTTGAATTTCCCAACAGAATCAACATCAATAAAAGTCACAGAACCTGGATACTTATCTTTTAACATGTTAAACCAGCTGGGCAAAGCTTCAGAACTGTCATCAGGAGTACCCCTAGCTAGATCTTGGGCGTGCTCTTGACACCTCCAAGCCTTTGAATATGAAATCAAAACACCATAATCTTTTTTAACCTTCTATATGATCTGTTTTGGTTTCAGCCCAATATTTCCTCCTTCATAATGATTGCTGACCATACTTCCCAACAGTTTCGTAGTAGCTTGCCGATGTTTAACACTTCTCAGAGAAGTGTCACATGTATGTTTAGATACATAATGACGCACAATAAACATATGAGATCTTTTCACTGATTTTGCACGAAAACTCCTGCTACATTTTTCTTCCACACACGTAAGAACATAACGTTTCCTGTCTGAATATACTATGTGGAACTCAAAGCTTTGACTAACTGCAAGCGACTTCAACTTCATGCTCATTTCCTTTTTGTCCTTAAAAAACTTCCCGCAGAACAAATCATCAGTGTCATCACATTGATTTGTAGCACAAGTTGGAGACGAGATATCTGAAAAAGAATGTGACTCTTCTCGCAAAATTTTTTTACCGTATCTGCTAGAAAAATATGACAATTTGGACCTTTCAGATCCATCTACAACAGGACCCATCAAGTTCAATCCTCTCTAAAGACAAAAAAAAAATGAAACATGAACATTAAAAAAAGAGTTAAAAATGGAATTTATAACTCATTATAAGATATTGATTATACTCCAAAATTTATATGTACCTTATTACTAACAAGACCACTTGAAGGAGAAATAAAACTATCTCTTATATGATTATGTCGTATTCCTGATAATTCATCAACTCTCTGAATATTGTTTCATTCAGTCTCAGGGAGAAATTGTGTTCCTTACTACAAAATTAAATATGGATGTACTTTCTTAAACAATTTATAATACCTTATGAACATTAAGATAAAACAGTGTTGAAATTATGAACATTAAGATAAAACAGTGTTGAAAAGTACCTCAAATGCATTACTACTTCCAGCAATAGGCGAATTGCGATTACTGGACATTTCATCACGTGTCTGAGTCAGGATTGGCATAATCAATGGTGATATTTGTGTTCCTCCAGCATTTGGAAAATCATGGGTAATTAAAACTTCATCCCGTGTCTGAGTCATATTTGACGCAATCGTTGGGGATATTTGTCTTTCCCTCTGAAACATAAATACATAAAGCTAGTAATGAATCTTGTAAAATAGTTTTATAAGGCTTTCTAAATATAAAAGTTGTAATATATACCTCAAGCGGATTACTATTTCCAGAAATAGACAAAACATGAGAAATCAAAACGTCATCCCGTGCCTGAATCATATTTGACGCAATCATTGGTAAAATTTGTGTTCCCTTCTGAAACATAACATCTTGTAATCTTGTAAAATAGAATTATAAGACGTTATTAATATAAAAGTTGTAAAAAAATACCTCAAGGAGATTACTACATTTATGAACAAGCAAATCCTGAGTAGAAACTTCATCCCTTGTCTGAATCATATTTGATACAATCAATGGTGATAATTACCTACTACATTTTAAAATAAATGATATTATTATAACAAAATATGTGTACTTACCTTAAATGTTAAACATATATGAAGACCTCCATTATGTTGTAGTTTATTCAGATATGTTGAAACATGACGATCGTTCCTGATAAACACTGGAGGAATATATTTACTTCCAAAGTTTACTTTTGAAAGAGACGCATAGCTAAGCTTCACACTGATTCTGTTGGAGTCAATACCAAAATCTTCTAACAAATACCCAACAAATCATTGAACCTCATATCTTTGGGAATCATAATAATAGAAGATCCTAGTTCATCGCCAGTTATGAAATCCCAGTGATTTCCATTTACGAGTTTCCATTCTCCGCAAACAGCACAAATTTCAATCATAGTAGCCTGAAAACATAAGATTTTCGTCGATAAATATTTATAATGTCTTATAAATAATAGATTTATAAAATTCATGAAAAAATATCCGTCTCCTTCTGAGAAACTAGTCGAGAACAACACTAAACACCTAGTTATGCACATGCTCTTCGACGAGATTAAGAAATCAAGATAAAAAATTGTCGTACCTTTGCCGCCGTTTCTACAGCGTTTGTCCCAACGATAGTCATGTTCGTTTGATGTAAACTTTTTCAAATCTGGGCGTAGATCTCGCGAGCTTCTTCAATCTCGACGGAATATTCGAATATCTCGTCGGAGAATACTTGAATTATTACTAATTATTCGATTTTGGGAGTGACTTTATGTTTGAATCTCGCCGGATCGCCGAATCTCGCCGGAGACGTTGAATCTCGCTGGACTCGTCAAAGCGATGAAGAAAAGAGATGGAGGAAGAATAGGTTTATGTTTGATTAATTAAGGGTACTATGGTATTTTAACTATCAAAATTTTAAGGTTAAAGATGATTTATGTAAAATTGAAATAGTATATCATGAATGTGCTAGTTTTAGCAATTTCCCCTCAAGATTTTTGGTTCTTGGATATGCAAAATTCAAAGTAAAGTGTTTTACATTAATAAAAATTTATACGTAGAAATAATTGTGATATGTGTACAAACATAACTTAATTTTCTTTCCATATATATGTACAAACATACATTGGAAACTATTTAATAATGTATAAACAAATAATTTGATGACTATTTATGTTACAAAACTCATTGTTTAGGTTATATCATTGAGAGTTTAGGTTTGAGGGTTTACAATAGTAGGATGGATGATTTCACTGCTAATAAAAGCTCAAAAATCTTTTGAAAACATAATGATAAAAAAGTAATACGCCAAGGTATTGAAAAGGTAAAAGATAAAAAAGATCATTTTGAATATTATAGATTGAATTGATGACATGTAACATAAACTACACCTCTCAAAACACTTCAAAAATAGAAAAAAAGATAATTTCTTAGAACTAAAAAAGATAAATTTACTTATTGGTTGTTGATATTATTAAAAGTACGATCTTGGTATCTACTCTATTAAAATAGAGTCATTATTTTTATCTACTAATACAAGTTGTCATTTAAATTTGGACCCTTTCTAGAGTGTTACAAATAATACAAGTCATATAGTTAATTGAACCGTATTACTTAAATTAAACCGGTGGTTATTTATGGGATATAGTCTTGGGCTTACTTTTGTTTTTAGAATAAATTATATGATTTGGTTTTTGGGCTTAATATTAAGGAAAAACTCCAAAAAACATTGAATAAACTTTCCACCTTAATGGATCAAAAAATCAATTATTTTTTCAGGCCCAAAAGGTATTTAAGATTTTTAACAAAACAAAATTATCTATTATTAATCATTTATTTAAATCATGTACTTAAAAACATGATAATGTATTTTTTATTTTAAATAACAATCCCTTTTTTGATAAATTTCAATGGTAACTTTTAAATAATATATTGTTTTATTTTTCTTAAATAATTTACTGATTTAAAAAAATATGTAAAGCAAAACCAAAAACTAAATCAAAAAACTAAAATCCAAAACCAAAAGTTTTTTGCTTTTCTTTATTTACAAAATAAAATATTGCAAATTTTTTAAAAAAAAAAAACTTTTGTCATCTTTTCAGTTTTAAATTAGATGTTTGATTATTTGGGATTTTTTTGTTGGTAATATCAGTTCAAACTAACTCAGCGGATCTAAAAATTAAAAACTCAAACCAAAAGCTGAAATCAAAAATAGAAACTTAAAAACTAAAACCCAAAAAATCAAAATCTAAAAAAAAATCTAAAAATAAAAATTGAAACTAAAAACTAATGAAAAACAATCATCACCACAAATTTTGGTGAACTGATTTTATACCAAAACATTCTTCAAATTAAGACAAAAACCTTATTATATAATTTTTTAATCATAAAAAATTTCCGCGCTTTCAAGCGCGGGTTAAAATCTAGTAATAAGTTAAATGTTTGTTCGAAAAATATTATTTAGAATCCTTTTATTTATAGTTTGTTATATAATTGCTAAAAACATGGTCAACCGTTATTGAAGAAAATATTATGGATATTTGACAATGATTATAGAAAGTAATATAACATTTAACAAAATTTTTGTATTATAAATAAATGATTATGGAATAAAAAGTAATTAACTAAACAAATTAAGGGGCTTAAAAAGTGTGATTTTTTATTGTATTGATTTACATAAACATCTACAAATATGTGGATAGTTTCTTTAATTAAAACTTTTATTTAATGAAAACATCTACAAACCGGTTCGCATGATTTGTATAACCCTATAAATGTGTTCGTTGCCTACGAGGAACATAGTCACTGCTACGAAATCTAAAAGAAAAATCATCAACTCTGTCTATGGCGAATTCGTTAACTCTTCTTGCCGACTTGGAAGTTGGCCGTTGTTCTGAGGTCGTCTTATGAGCTTTGTGTTCTACTTTAATCCACGATCGAGTCAGTACAATTAAAATTTTCCTTTTTATGGCAGAGGAAACACTTCACTGATTGATTATTGCCAAAGCGATGGCAAACATAAATACATCCAGATCGACGTTGGCGAGACATTTAGGAACAAGTCCTTCATTGGTTTACTCTTCACAACATTCCTCAAGCTGATTCTGTAAGGTTTGATGAAGTTCTGTTTTCTTTCACTACATCCTGCATGTTTGATGTCTCCAGATATGTATGAACGAACCAAATTCTAAATCTTAGGTTACAGTTCTCAAGTTTTCCGGAACCTTTTTTCTGCATGTATTTTATTATATTTTTGCTGACCCTGCAGATGATTTTGACTCATGAACATGCTGGTGATGTACTTGGCTTGGATTATATTTGTTATGTACAAGCATTCAGTCCTACCAGTGATATAGATTCTACTCCAATCTTCGTACGCCAATTTTTATGGACATGTAAATATGTAATAGTTATATCTTTCGTAATCACTGGAAATTCAGCTTGAACTTTTAGATTTTGAAGCTGTAATGATCACCTGCGTTTCTGAAAACAGCCATGCTGCGAAGTTTCTGTATCTGGTCCAGAAGAAACTTAAAGGTGTGCCCAGATGTTAGGCGAGTAAACACAGCTGACGGGAGAGTTATCAAAGAAGATTGTGAGAAGCTATTTTGTAGCTTCATACTTATCATTCATGCTGCTTCCAGTAAGTTTCTCAAAACCTCTGTAGAAATAGTGAATCATACCTCTGTAGAATTAAGTCGTCTGTTTGAACAAAAGACTTACCCATAACTTTGTAAGTCTTCTACAGCCAGACGACTTACGGGTAAGTCTTCTACGCGAACATATATGTTAAAGATTTCAATTTCATACCTTAAACTAGTGAGATGACTTCCTTAGCACACAGAGTCATCTCCAACCCACCCAGAACCTCAAACGAAAGTAACCCATGAAGAATAGTAACCTTGAATGGCTCTATCAACCATAATTTTTTTTTGAATCAAAAGCTTGAGTTTTTTGGATTAATATGGAGACAAAGTGAAAGAGACGTTGTTTTTTGTTCATAACAATTGAGAAAAAGAGAGTGTAAATTGATTTTAGGTGCATTAAGAGTTTCAAATTGGTTGTTCATGGTAGTTAGGGTATTGATGGCAATGGCAATCTTGTAAATACTTGAAGATGATGAGGTTGAGAGAGTAAAAAATATTTTCAAAAGTAAAAAAATAGTGGTATTTTCGTAAATAATGTGAACAAGTGGGGTGAATAGAACAAAAGAAAAGTAAAAAAAAAGGTTAGTTTTTTGTTTGACTTTGAGTTTTAAGTCAAATTTTCAAAAATCCCATATTATATATGATTTAAATAAAATAAAATAATAATATTAATATAAATGCCAAATTTCAAAAAATAATAATTAATGTGTATACACTAAAATCAAAAAAGAAAATTATCTTCAAATAAGATATTTAAATAATTTTTTTATAAATTAATATTTCTATAAATTAATAAAATTCAAAGTCTCAACATTATTAATTTATAGAGATTTTACTGTATATGTGTTACGAACATCGATTGTTAAATTTTTTGAACATCATTTGTTTACCGGATGGAACAATGATATTTCTCAGGCTGTTTTATATAGTAATTATAGTTTGGAATTGTGTATGTTGGGCTTTTAAAATTGCAAACAAAGGTTTTGAGCTTTAAAATCTTTATTTGTGTGATCGTTGACCGGTATTCTGAACTTTGAACTTTACAAAAGTGAAATATTTGGTAGTATTTTTTCTAATAAAATAATTACTCTGATATAATTCAACAGATAATGAACTAATCAAAATTTCAAGCATAAAATAGTTTTAAGATAAACTGCTTTTTCTTTACTTTGTTATTGTTTTAGAATGTATATTTTGAAAGAAAATTCAAAAGAATTATAAGTAAGGATTAAATCCTAAACTCTAAACTTGATAATGGCACAAAAATCCCAACTTTAGACAGTTAAAAACAACCAAAGTAACTTTTAGTGTATCTTCAACACAACTATTTCGCATTTCTTTGTCTAGCTCCCTTGGTATCTTACAACAAGAAGGCCCACACAAGCATCCTCATCTTATGATATTCAACCTAAAGAGATTTACAGAACCAGAAGTGAAACCAACAAATGTAATACTCTTAGTTTTCTAAATAAGAAATGCCATGTTTTTTTTTCCCTCTTCATAGATCAAGTGGGACTCTCATGTGCAAGCTTTACTGAAATCCCTTTTCTACCAAAACCAGACAGTGCAACATTTAAATAAGATTTAGTCCTTTCTTTTTATGTTGGGTTTCTTCAGATAGATAATGTAATGGAGTGTTGTCAACAGTTTTTTTACCATTTAGACCATTCTTCAAGAAACTCGGTGTCTTTATGGTGAGTCATTCCAACTAAAAGAGCCCTTTTCGGATTCAAGTCGTTTGATTGTCTCTACTGTTTACAGAAAACAAAAGTAAGTTAGAGATAATCCATTAAAAAAAAAACACATATTCAAAGTAAGTTACATGCAGGAAACATAAGTGAGTGTTGTGGGATCCTGTCTGCAGTCAGGATAAAATAGAGAATGTGAAAGCATCAGCATAAAGTAAACGTAAAAAATCAAACGTCAATGCACAACGATGTCCGTATAACCTTATATATTGTATCCAAGATAAGGGGATCCAATTATGCACCAC